GTTCGTATTTCTTGATACTCTTACATGTCTTTTAGACATTTCAGCGAACACACGTGTGTTCTCTTCTCCTTTCTTTCCCATTTTCTGCTCATGCACCAAACGACGCACCACAACCATAACCCTGCTCTGCGAAGAACCCCAAGACATGTACGGCGTGAAATCCCACCTCCAATGCACCACAATCCTGCCGGTGGCTCTTCTCATTTCCGACCCGCCTCAAGTCCGCCGGGCCCATGGCGTGCCTTCTCAGAACCCGATCCGTTATCCGGTTCAGGGAGCCCGAGACCATTAAATTCCTCCCGGTTCTGGTGACCAACGGCGTCCGGACTCCAGAAAACTCAAGTTCGGAAGGACGGATTTGGGACCCGGAACCGGGACCGGGCCCGATTCGGGTGAGCTCAAGATTTTCACTGATGTTGATGGGTCTGTCATGGATGAGCTCTTAGCAACTTTGAAAAGGTCAGTGTTTTGCTTTTGCTGCTGCTTCTTCTTATGAATTGAAGTTCTTGAAAATTGAAGATTGTTGGAATTGTGTGTGCGTGCTGCTGGTAAGTTGTGTCATTTTTGGGCTAGTAAGCTGATAACTTAACATAACCGGGGAAATGAGTTCATTTTGAGGCAGAGACATGCGACAATTTATTGATAAGAAAAAAAAAAAAGGAAATGGAAAATGCAATTGACCCGACAAGAATTAGAGTTGAATGCTTAAAGTTATCCTAAATTGCAGTTTTGCATGAAAACGCAATAATGATTGGTGCTGTGCAGATTCTAGTGGTCACATTTAGGGAAGACTTTTGGCATGACCATTTTTAAGATGTACATATGGCTTCATGCTATGTAATCTACACGAATAATTGCAAAAACCCATGATATGACATTGGACAAGAGCAGAGGAAACAAGTTAGCATTTCTTGTGTAATGTTCCAGAAAAAATGTAGAGCAGTTCAGCTAGACTAGATGGACACATTTGTTTTCTCCCTTTGTGATTACGTGATATACCAAATCTGTTGCATTAAATCATGCCTTGACAGATACCGTTTGAGGTCGAAGGTTGACATTGAGAATGTGGGACAAGATTTCTCTTGCTGGCAACAGTTTGGTGGGAACCTTTCAAATGAGTTCTCATCTTTGAAAGATTCAAAAACTTATTTTATCGGCTATGGAGGCACTTGATCGCGAAGATATGTCATCTTCACAAGGTAGGCATCTTGGTTTCCAATGGTTTAAGGATCCGCTGTTGTCTTGTCTTGGACTTAGGGGTTTACCATCTTACTTATGCCTGACCTCAATTATTCGTTTATCAGCAAATTAAGCATTTGAACGCTATGCATCACTATACCAGGGTTCAGAACTGCACACATTAGACATGTTTTTTTAATAACTTCTGTCTGGTAACATGGTTGATGTATGAATGGTTTCTTTCTTGCATTTGAATTTCAGTTTTCCCATTTAATTACAACTAGTACGTGGCCCGTGCGATGCACGGAAAAATAATATTTTGATTGTATTATAAATTAAATAAATAAATAACATTAATCATGATTTACCCATTATTTATAAATTAAACCGGGTTGGACACAGTCCGACCGGATGGACCGAGAACCGGTTTATAACTGATTTAGTGCGCTTGAATAAAATATTTGCTATTGAATCCGCCAACACCAGTATGTTGGACTGGTAAGATCGATACGATTTTCTAAACAAATTTTGTTACATGAAAAATTATTTTAAATAAAATTACATATTTAAATAAAATAGAGATTTATAAATTGTTTATCAATTAGTTTAAATATTTGAATTTATAAATTGTTTAGATATTTAAGTAACACTTTCTATTTAAATTTATTACAAATAGTACTATATATATATATATTAAAGTATTATGTATTAAAATTTGAACAACCACAAGACGGTGCGATTTTGAAAACCTTATATTTACCGTATTAATAAAAATGATAATGAAATAAATATTTTGTTCACATAAACAATAATAAAATGATATATAAATATTCATAAATCATTAATCATGTTGTCATAAAAGTATTGTTAATATGATTATTTGACGTTTGGACGACATTACATTTACGTAATAAAGTATTTTCAATATTAAAATTTATATTTAGGTTCAATAATCAATTTGGTCTGGTCAAACTGATACATAACTTAATTACCTCGGACCAACCAAGTTATGTCAAGTTTTTTGACTATTTTAAATATCACCTAAAAGTAATTCAATCAAAGTGGACAGTACCCTAATTCAATCACCCGATTGATCCAAAGTAATTTCCTTATTTTATTTAAATATAATATTTAATTTTATGAAATAAAAATATTTTATGATTCATATGTCTACACCAAATGATAGTATATTAAGATTATAAATTATATATCCAAAGATGAACTATTTATTTTTATTTTATGCATATTAATAAAAAATAAACATAGTAATTTTAAAAAAATTAAGATTAATTGATTGGGTATGCAATTTAAAAAATATTTTTAGCGTTCAATATATATATCTATATATATATATATTTAACATGATTGAATTTTTGGATTAGAATATATATATTTAAAATAATTTTATTATTAAAAGTCAAAAAGAAAAGATGCCATAAAGATTACAACTTTAAAAAGTTTGTAACCATTAATTTATGAACCCTCCGATTTTAAATGACTTATAATTTTTGAAACATGATACATGCATTTAAAACCCATTAATTTAGGAACCATCCAATTTTTTGATAATGAATTAAAATTAAAATGTAAAATGTAAAAGTTGCTGAAAATAGTATATAATAAATGTGGTTGACTTTTCCTTACTACTATTTATGGTAAATATTAATTCTTATTATATATATATAGATATAGATATATTTTCAGTTATGATCTCATACATTACTCTGTCTAGTGCAGCTCCACTCGTCGAGGTGGATAAAGAAATAGATGAAGGAAATTATCTTTTATGGAGATTAGAGAAGGGAGTTGTTGAAGGCTCAACTGAAATCCCAAAAGGTTAGAACCTTCGGTACACAAAATTTTGCATTTTAGACTTTCAGTACCTCAGCTACTTTAAAAAATCCCTCATGTTCGAACATCTCACAATCGTTTCCTACTAGCTGAAGGCTTCAGATTTAATTTATTTCTCATTATTTTCTTACATTTTTTATTGTCCGGGTAATAATTTTCTTCTGGTTTGAGAACCTTTATATTTGATGGAAAAAATCTTATTCAAGTCAAGATGGCCTGGTGCTGAATTGATCGAGACGGCCTCCCAAAAGAAAGCAGGGACAACCAACTGCATTAGGATCTCTTGGTTTGGGCCTTCTCGGCTTGGATAAATCTTTCATAGGGCCATAAAAGGTCAGGAAGATATCAAAGTAGAGGCCATTAGGCCCAAATGGTGGCCTGCTTAGTAGGTTTAGCTGCTTATTTTAGGTATGATTCTATTACCCTTCATAGTCTCCGCAAGATAACAGAACAACTGACTAGAAAAAGGAACTTGATGTTGTTATTAATTGACTTTCTACACTTTTGACCATACAATTGATACTTTAGTATAAGAACCTCTTCTGTGTGGGACTGCATGTGAATGAAAACAGTTGCATCTTTGAAACTTTATGCACGTAAATAATCTTAAAAGTGGATTTCAAGTGGACTTTTTCTACGTGTGTTGAAAATTAACATCATTTAAAACAGCAATACTAGTTTTTTTCCTGAGGATGCTAACAAACTGATTTAAGTTGACGGAAAATGCCTACTTTATTTCATCTTTGGGTAGCAGTCTGAAGTACATGTCTAGCCTGAATTATATCTAATTAAATACACAATAATATTTATTGAAACATGGACATGAAAAATAGTAAACCCACTAGACATAATAATACCAATGAAATGTTCTTTCCCAGCTTCGTAAAATTTGTCCATCATTGGACCTCTCACTCATTTACAGGCTCCAGCAAGACACCACTAATCGACACCTCTCAGCGAACAGTTAACATTTTCTGTTCATGTCAGCTTGTAAGTTAAGATTGTAGGGATCTTCAATGGATACACACTATATAATCCTTATCTAGCCACCCTTCACTTCTTTTTTCAGCTCCCGCACAACCGACGCCATGCTCGACCTACTCTCCGGATCCTCGTTCGTGCAGTCCAAAGCTATCCTCGTCAGCAGTCTTGCCTCGTTTTCCGAAAAATCACCTTCGAGCTTTGGGTCTATAAACTCCTCGAATTTCCCAGCTTCAGCCGCAGCACGAGTGGACCCTGGGAGCTTTGTCTTGCCGCACAACAACTGGAAAATAATGACTCCGTATGCATACACGTCACTCTTTTCTGTGAATCGGCCTGTGGTGACATATTCGGGAGCCATGTAGCCCAATGCTGCACTGGCCTTGAGGGCTGAGTATACAACGTCGTCAGCAAGTAGCTTGAGAAGGCCCGCATCAAGAATCAGGGGGTTCATATACTGGTCGAGCAGGACTTTCTCGACCGAGATGTTTTGGTGGATGATCGGGGGCTTGTTCGTCTCGTTGCTGTGTAGGTACCGTACACCTGTTTATGGAAACACGAAAAATTACATGACAAATGCATTGTTTCTGAATTAACTTACTCTACCAACTTAATACTTGAACACATGTTTTCCTCATCGGGCCAAACAGATCGTCTGATCATAGATGAGGCACTAATGGCGACAGTGTAAGGCATTTGGTAGAGAACTACAGTGATTGCGAAGCAAGTTGTTTTATGCATACATCAATTCAGTTTTCTGGCAGCAGACATTAATATCCTCTACTTGGGACCTCAATGATTTTCTCAGACAAAAACTCCAGGTTTTAGAAGAGATTCCGAATGAGACTACATAGTTATTAAAATAGCACCCCAAACCAGGGAAGCATTGCAGAAACCAAAAATTGGAAAGCCAAGCTACTAGCTATGAATAATTTGCAGACTACAAAAATACATTTGTGTTGTGCGCAGAATTAAAACGATAAATACCAACCTTTAGCGATGCCAAGGATGATAGAGACCCTGGTCTTCCAATCCAGCACACTGCCAGTGCCAGTGCCAGTGCTACTGCTACTACCCACAACATCGCTTTCGAGATACCTGGACAAAGTACCCCCAGGGGCAAAATCGTAAATCAGGAAGCACTCCCCTCTAGCCGTCGACCGGCAGAATCCTTTCAGCTCAACAAGGTTCTCGTGCTTGAGCGAATTCAGCAGGCTCAGCCCTCTCAAGAACTCTTCCTCCTCCGACTTACAGCTCGTCTTACCGATGCACTTTACAGCCACAATAGACCCGTCTTTCAGAATCCCCCTGTACACCCCGCAGAACTTGCTCTTCCCCATGAGATTCAACTCCGAGAAGTGCTGCGTGGCCGACTCCACCTCCTCGAGGTTGTACCTCGAGCCCCCCTGGTGGGCCCCGCTGTCGAACGACCCGTTGCTGTCGGGCCCGATGTTCGACGGGTCCCACACGCTCATGCACCGGTCCAGGGAAGACGGGCTTCGGTCGTTCAGCTCTTTGGTCCGGTCCATGCTGCTGCCGGTCCTTTCCTCGTTGGCCGTGTCGGACGACTCGTTCTCGACCTTCTGTTTTCTTCTCCGGCGCCGGAAAACGGCGACGGAGGCCGCCGCCGCCAGCCCGACGGTGGCGGCGATCAGGCCGGCGGCGAGCCCGATCTTCGGCATCTTTGAAGGGGTTTTGGAGCAATGTGTCTGGTTGCAGGTCAGGGCGAAGGCAGCAGACTCGGGCTTGGTCGTGGGGCCCGCACCGCCAGCTGACAGGTTGAGGTAGTTGTCGCGTGCGGTGCAGGGTCTGAGGCCCGGGAGGTTGGCCCCACAGAGGTTGGCGTTGTTTTCTATTTGGAGATTGAGGCCCGTCCTCTTCAGACCTGAATTGAGAAATGATTTTAAGTTTACCAAGAAAATTGAAAAAAAAAAAAATGGCTTCTGAAGAGGATGGGCTTACTTGGAGGGACGACGCCAGAAAGATTGTTGTTTTGGACGTCGAGGTCTTGTAACGAGGTGTTGTTGGCGAGTGTATCGGGGATTTGGCCTGAGAGTTGATTGGAGCCCAAGTGCAATCTTTTCAACGAGTGCAGATTTCCTAGGCTTGAAGGGATTTGCCCTGTTAGCCTGTTGCTTTCCAAATTAATGACGTTCAGGTTTTTCAAGGATCCCATTGAAGAAGGTATGGTTCCTGTCAATTGGTTGTGACTTAGCTGCAGCACTGCAGAATTTGTAGAATTTTTAGTTACTAAATTGAAGTTTTAAAAAGAACATATAAGTAACTAGCTATAGATTTTGATGATTTCACTTCTAAGGGTATAGAAAGATAACTTTAAAAAAAAAAAAAATTACAAACACTCTAGTTGTTCAGTATCATTACCCAATTTGGCTAATTCAACCTCAATTCTCCCTTAACAACTAATAAAAAAAGTGTAAAATAAAATAAAATAAAATAAAAAAGAAAGAGATCAATAAATTATAAAGCATTAAGAACACAAATTTGTCCATTGCAAATGGAGCTGGAAGAGTCATTGTTGACAATTCTCCTGGCATAGTGCTAATAATGGACTAGATCAAAATGGCTCAATTAAATTCTAGTGCTTCTTCTATTAGTGAAGTTTCAAGAAAAAAAAATATATCAAACGGCGCAATGCATCTTGGGTCGCTACGGAAACAACCTCCTTGTATAATTACAAGGGTAAGGTCTGCGCCCCAGATCCCAACCTGTTGGGAATATACTGGGTATGTTGTTGTTGTAAGAACACAAATAAAACTGAAAATAGATATCACTCCCCAATACCGAGCAAGCTTGCACTTAACCTATATCATTAAGAGGAAACACACAGTGAGACACACAGGGCCAGAGTGAGAGAGAGAAAGACCTTGAAGACTAGCCAAATATCCAATCTCAGGTGGTATAGTCCCAGTCAAGTCATTCAAATTGAGATACAGATCGGTCAACTCAGTGAGTTGAGCAATCGCAACCGGGATCCCTCCTTTCAGCGAGTTGTAGTGCAGGTAAAGACCCGACAGGCAGCTCAGCTCCGCCAGGTCGGAAGTCAACTTTCCGGTGAGCCCTTTACCCTGCAGCGAGATGTTGACCACTCTCCCATGCTCGTTGCAAGCAACTCCGACGAACGTGCCGCCACATGGTTTGCCTTTAGCGGCCCACGACGAGAGGCGCTTGTTCACAGGGTCCAATGCCAACTTGATTTTCATCAACGAGCCCACCTCTGAATGGCCGGGCGCCAGTTTCACGCAGCAGTTGCTGCCATAAACGAAGCTGATGAGAATCAGGAGGAGAGGGAACAGGGAATTTGGCAAGTCCTGCATTTTTTGTTCCTTTCTTCTTATTTTTCTTGGGATTTATTTATTTTTTTTCTCTGATTGTGAGGGTGAATTGAAATTTGCGGACTGCAGGCGCAGATTGTTTTTTGGTCAGAGCTGGTTTTTCAAGAAACAAGACTTTTTAGTACCGCATGATCTTTCAACTTTCGGAAAATCTGGAGAGGAAAAGACGGAGCTTTTTGGATTTGGAATTTTGTTAATCTGAGCTGAAACTGAAAAAAAGAAAGCTTGATTGGTTTTTTTTTGGGGGGAAGAGCGAAAGAGATTGGGTAATGTGTGTGCAGTGTGTACACACTGCAGTGTGTGTCAAATTGGTAAAAGTGTCGGCCGTGTTAGACTTTGGAGGGTATAATATAAACACATGCATGCACATTCTATAGGTTTTTTTTTTTTTTTTTGGTTGNATTCCTTTTTTTTTATTTATATGGAAAGTTTGGTGTCATATGCAATTGCACCAGAATAATTCTCAGTTCTATTATATCATCAAGTTCAACTTTTATTTATTTTTAGTATGTTTCATCGACATGTGGAAAGAATCCAAAGTGTCCTATCCAAAAAAATACAAATTATTACATCAGTTTGTCTAACTATTAGATGAGTTGAATCATTCTAGTAAGCAAACTTATATACAATACTAATGTAATATTTTTTATTTACAAAAATTAAGTTGTATGTCATTCCAATTTGATAACATGCATATATGTTGAAATATAATTGTCCAATCTTTAAACCTGCCTTAAAAACCAAAATTCTCAACAGTTGTTCCATTTTTTTAATATTTCCATTGAGAACTGAGAACTAGATATGTTACTAGGTAAATGGAATGATCTATAGATTATAATCACTCTCACTTTAAAACATAAGAAAAGAAAATCTATGAATGGGGAAAAACACTTCATTCTTAGTAACTTCGCATGAGACAGCCTGTCGGCGTGATGTAGATTATATAATATTTTAACAGTTTTTTTTCTAATGAAATGTCTCTATAGTTAAAAGTTAAGTATTTAACTAATAAAGCGGCTCCATAGAACAAACGTCATAAAAAACTTCATTTTTATAGGGAGTCGAAATATGAACTAATGACACATTAATGGAATAGTAGGTATATAATAATTGATTGATTAGTTAGTTACTTGTAATTTAAAAGAAGAAGAAAAAGCAATGTGTGAAGCTACTCATAATAAGATGTCCAAATTTTCTATTGGAACAGACTATTTTTCAAACATAAATATAAAATATTATTTCTTGGTCTAAAAGTGTAGATATTACATAATGCAAATAAAAAGTATAATTTGTCAACGAGTTGCCTAATTATAAGAAGGGTGCCTGAGTTAATGATGGACCGATAGAGAGAGCCAGAGAGGCGCTTGGACTAATTCATTATCTTTTGAAAAGAAAATTTATCATTTTTTCGCATGATATTCGTATAAATAGAAGGTGTCTATTATTATTTTTTAACATATGGACATATATTTTATTTTCAATTTTGTATATTAATTTCCAACTCACCGTTTCATTAATTCTTTTCTATTGAATATTTTATTATCAACTGCTTATATAATATTCATAGTGCTTTACGCTATATTCAATTGAGTATTCAATAGTTCTTTGTTGAATATTTGGTATTTCTTAACTAAATTTACATTATCGAATAACTTAATTTCCATTGGTAATTTCATTTTTCTACGTCCTTTTATTTTTATAGCCTAGAGTGCATAGTTTATAGTACTCCCTCCATTTTGAAATATAAGGCATTTAAGGTTATTGCACAAATATTAAGGAGACATTAATTAATGAATAAATTGACTAAATTAACCTTATTTACTCTAATCACAACCACTCCACACTTCCTTAATTTCAACACAATGAGGGTATATTTGGAAAAAAATGTAAAAATTTGTCTTGATTTTTGAGCGCGCCTTATATTTCAAAAAAAATAAGAAATCTTTATACGCCTTATATTTCAAAATGGAGGGAGTATTACAGTATGACAAAAAATAAATCAGATTGCTTAACACAATACTATTGGTATTTTACTATCCAAAAATAATGTCAATATACGTGATTCTATCAAATATTCGTAATTACCACTAGTTCATTTAGCCATGACTTATAATCAAATATTCGTAACTACTAACATAGTTAGTCGTATCATACATTCAAATTTCTTCAATGTAATTATTGGATGACTACCAATTAATAAACCAAATAAATAAGATCAAATTTTTGAAAAATACTAGTACTATAAAATACATTAATTTAAGTTAAGGTATACACAGCATTGAATACCTTAGTCTATGGTGGGTCCACCTGCTAGGAGAAGACAAAAGGTTATATAAAATTAAGAAAAGATTAGAAAATTTTTAGAGCTAATCTCTCCCGCCAATCACGACGTGATTAAATTTGAAAAGTTGACTTTGATGCCATGGAAAAAGATGGTCAACAAATTAGAAAAAAAAGAGTGTTCCAAACTAAAAATGTTTCCAACCTAACCAGATTATATGACAAGGATTGGACTTTGATCAGGTTGTCTAGAGGAACTTCCAAAGCCTCAATATAAATTAAAGACCATAAGATGATAAGACAAAAGTTAGATATATATTGAGATGTAGTGTAACAACTTATATATAAGAAATTGTTAGATTATTCATCAGTTTTAAATAAATATCACATTTGATTCATCCGGTGGTACGAAATTATCAATTAATACAAATTTAACTACAAAACTCTTGTGTAAGTTAGTCTAAACGTCAGGTTGATCGACCTATTATGCTATATGAACAAAAATACATATTTACACTATCAAATATCAAATATCTATTTATGTTGTTTTTTATAGTATAATATTTTGTAAGTGAATTATATACTTATTTGTAAAGACAATTTGTAAACTGAATAGTTNGATCTTAATAGTTAGGCTAACCTAAGAGAAGATCCCCAACTGTTATCACCGTTTCACCATATTATGAGCTCAAGCATATATGATCTCTTAGTTCATCTTAGAAAATAGCCCATGCTATGGATCATTATTGAACCAAATCACATATGAAGTTTTTCACAATATACAAGCATTCAAAATTCAAAAGAGTGTATAATGCCTATCCATTTGTCCGGATGAATTTATTATTAGGGATTTTAAAGCGAAGGTGTGAAAAGCAAAAGTAATTCAATACAAGTTTCAATGTTTCGAAGAAATTCTAATCGAACGTCCGTATTTGCAAAAGCCAGCTCACATTCCAAGACAATCGGTGGTACGTTGCTGGTTTTTATCTTAATTTCTTTTATACTTGATAAGAATATACATCATCATTATTATTATTGAAAATCACATTTGAACCCGCTGGTATATCATATATATCTAGTTGTTTATTAGCACGGTATATAAGTTACGCTTAATATATAAATTATTTTAATTGATTGTTACTAAAATAGTAAATTATTATTTTCTCAATTAGAATTGATAAATGTTAGAATATACACTTGTGAGTTGTCCCACATCGTCTATACAGGAAAATAAATTCACCTTATAAGTCTAATGGGCCCACATAGTATATACAGGAAAATAGATCCACTTTATAAGTCTAATGGGCTACTCCTCGTATCACTAATTGGTTTTGAGATGGAATTTCTCTGCTTTGGTGCGTTTCGTCCGTGGGACCGCACCCGTCAACCCCTGTTTGTCAATAAATAATAATTTTATTTATAAGGTAGATATAATTTTCTTCTTCTAAACCTCTGCATCTTATCATGTATAATATGTCAAACTTTATCTTATCTATTCTATTCATAAATCACGATCCTAAAATATATGTACACAATCTTTCCCCGATCCTAAAATTAAAATCATTAAATGATGATATTTTATATATGTAAATATGTAATATGGATCTGAAACAAAAATAAACTTAAAAAGATTAATATAATAAATCATATATAAAAACTTATAACAAATAAAATATTTTATAATTTAAAAGGTCCTATCATAAAAGTCCAAACTAATAAAAAGCACAAAAAATAACTAATATAAAGCACAAAAAATTAACACACAGATTGAAATCCCGACATAGCATCGTCATAACCGACAATCCTTTTCAAATTTCTAACGGTAATTAGGCAAAAATGTGCCAAGCAACACCGGCCGTGGCAAAATTATCTAACATT